GAGAAATTGCAGGCACTCAGCAGACACTGTAACTGAGCATTCCCTCATTATTGGCTATTTTCTTTGTTGTGTACAATCTGCAGGATAATTTATTTTGAAGGAATGAAAGAACAAAAGTCATGCAGTAGTTTATAACAAAGCTTTGGAAGTTAAGCAGACAGGAACTGCAGTAATGTGGTTGACCATAGGCATAGCTTTGCATCTTGAACATATTGTTCTAAAATTAGGCATCACATTAATCTCAATTTATCTGATACTATATGAATGCAGTTATCTTCAACAGTAGACATTTCTCATATATTAAATCAGAATAAAATTAATTAATGAAAATAATTTCACTATATGGTGAGCCCACACATACGGTACAACATTATCCGGGAACAAGGTGAGAGTGGAGAAGCTGTGTAATGGGAGAAACCTTAGAAATACCAGGAAAGGGAGGAGGAGATGGTAGCTTCATCATGCATCCAGACAGCATAAGTCTGGAAGCTAGGGTAGGGTACTCTGGATAAATGCATGCTGACTGTTTTAATTGCAAAAAAATGTTTGTGTCAGTCTTTTTTTGTGAGCACGTGTGAATGTGATTTCTAGACTTTAAGTACTTTAACTTGCTCTACATATATAAAGGGTTATGAGTAAATATCCTGAAGTCTAAGGGAATACCTTGTACTGAATAATATTTTAACTATATATATGTAGTTAATTGATAAACTACTTATTTTTGCAAGTTTATAGAAAGCTGGTTTATTTTTTAAAATTCTAATGCCTGTAGAGAGCCAACTGGTAAAAATTTAACATTAACAAAGCTACAGGAGCTGAACAATAAGGAATAGGAATAAAAAAAAAAGACAGCTTTTTATTTGCACTATACATAATGAGTTTAATGAATAATTTCCCCTTAAATCTCATGTTAATATGACTGCTGTATAACAGCGTTCATAATCTGTTGATGCAATTTGTGATCTTAGAAATCCCCCTGCAGAATTAAGGCCGACATATATTGAACCCTACAACATAAAGTTCATAGGTTTTAAATTTGAGAGAAAAGGCTCTAACCTGATTATACAGGACAATCAGTGTATTCTGTGAGGCTTATTAAAGCGAGAATTTCTGTAAAACATTTTCTCCATAGAAATCATTGGTTCATTATCATATTAAAGACTGACTTTATAGGTTCTTTTCAGTTTTATTCTTAGTATTTTTCACAAGATTTTACTATGAGGAGAGAATTTAGAGGACAGCAAATAACTGACTGTATTTAACCTAGAATGAAATGTAAGCAGAAATTCCAATTACCAGAGAAGGAAACATAGAGCCTGTGGAAGGAAAAGGCCAATTCCAAAGTCCCTTGAAACTAAAAAATTATGGAAATTAGTATCACGGTAAGTAGTGCCATTAATCATACACTCTGTATCATTATGGTAACAGAAATAACAATTTTTCTAATGTGTGACTTGAGCCAAAGATCGCTGCCACTTCATAATGATAAAAGTGGAGAGATTTAGCTGTTACATTTAGTTTCCGTTGTTACGATAAGAAATGGTACTGTATTCATCGGTTTCCATCAAGTACACTTAGTTTAAAAAAAAGTAATTGCTATGCCAGCAAATTCCAATTGGATGCTTTGCTTCTGGTGAACCATCACCAGTGGTAAGGACTGTCAGTTACAATAGTCATTATTTTACCATTATAATATCAGTTGCACATGTGTTACTTCCACTGGTTTGCAAAGATAAATCTCACTAGAGCTGTAACAATCTTGGAAACAAAGAAGGAAAGGAAACTTTCCCTTTGTTAATCCAATATAGAGAATGTTCAAATTCTTGCTTTTTAGGTTGGCCTGATGTGTGAGAACAGCTTCAGTATGATCCAACATCTAACTGGCACAGAGTAGTGGTGGTGGCTGCAAGCGAGTTGTGCTATGTTAGGGTTTGTCCCAAACTTCTGGATGAGCCAGTCAGCCTGAGCATGCTGCGCTTTCGTCTTGGGTGAAGGGTGTGTGTGCATGCATTGAATTCAGGCAGCAGATGATGTCATGTTTGATAGGATGGTACCTTGACATTAAATCCCAAATTACATCAGGAAATACTGTCATTCCAAAACCAATGCTAATGGAGTTATACAGAAGTACGCTTTGTTTAGTTCTAGCTGGTCAACGTTGTGTAACACGAACTCAGTTTGTTCTAATTGGCTTGCTAAAGTGACCTCTACTGTTAAATCCTGTGTACATGCTTTGTAGAGGTGCTTGCATATTACCTTTGGAGTCATAAACTTCTTTATTTAACGTAAAAATTGGATGTAGAAAATCCCCTTTTAAACTGGTAGTTGGATTTTGGAACATGGTGGCCCCGCACTGATAACATGAAATAATTTATGCAGAGCCTCAGCCTTAATAATAAGTTTAGCAGCCAAAGTATAGATTTCCAAAGCATTTTGGTTTTGCTGGGCCATCTCACCACCAAACTGTAATTCTGCAGTGCATTTTCTCCTTGCTGCAGTGTGCTCACTCAGTAAGCTCTTGATCAAGGAGTTCCACCGAAGTCTGCTCAATTCAGTCTTACTTGCACAATTCCAGATAACATAACCATTCTTGAATCTTTACTAAATTTTTAAAGGAATAATTCCTAACAAAATCTAAGAGTAACAATATTAAAAACATATTCTTGCACTCAAAAGTGATGGTTCTGAATATACACGTAAATTGTAGGTGGAAGAGAAAACTTCTTGTACTTTCAGAGCAAAAAAAGGCCAAGTCTCAAATTGGCTGCTTTAGTCTGTAGAGGCAGGTAACAACTACTTTGTATGCCGTAACTTTAACACTCCTAAAGGTATTAGATGAATAGAGCTCCTCATACAGCATTTTCATGTTGAAGCATTACCAGAGGAAGGCCAGAAGTTCAGATTTGTTGGTTGATTATTTTTCTATTAAGGGAACATAATATAAACTGAACTGGTATCCTGTAACAGTTGGAGGAGAATAAAGCAAACTAAAGAGATTTTCATCTGGGAAAAGTCATTAATGATGATTATTAAAAGTTTTGAGTAGTCTCACAGGAGGCTCTTCTGACATATTACTAATCAGATCTGTTTTTTTCTGAGGGCTTTTTTGCTAGTCATTTTCAGCAAGAGTAATGTTCAGTTATCTTTGACTAAGGTTTTGTTTTATTTGTTTTGTAAAATAATAAAAGTTAAAAAAGCTTTAGTACTCAAAAGGTATTTAAAGGAAAAGTTAGACTAAATTTCTAAACTTCAAATGTAGTTTTTCTTTAAAATAGGAAAAATTTCAAGAACTATTAAGTGTTTTGAGATGGCAGACAAACACATGTTTTTAAAATTTATTTCAGATGTTTTGTTTTGGTTTTATGCCCAAATATGTCGTCTTCATCCATCATTCTGTCCCTGCAATCCCACTTCATTAAGTCACCATTTTCCCATGTATCACATGCAGACTTACCTTTCAAAATGCAGTATAACCCTCTCTATATTTAAATTACTCAGTTGCTCATCAACATCCACCTTCAGCAAGCCAGTGACTGTTTTCAGAACCTAGCTTTCTGCTTATCAGACAAGCCCTTTCATGCTTTGTCCCATTATGCCATTAACAAGTGAAGAAATATCCTTGCAGGCAAGGTTAGTGATGACTCCTCATTTTCCTTCAGCTGCTTTTGCAACCTGTACCTCTGCTCTGAGATGCAGAGATCTGCAGCGCAGTAGTAGTAGCAAGGGAGGAAATGAACTGTGAATGTCACTCTGATGGGTGAAGAATGAAAAAATCTGCTAAATTCTTATAAAAGAATCCAGATCCAGCTGGGTGAAAGCTTTCTTAAAGTATGATTTCATTGTGAATAACAATAATGGATTCTAGGAGTGTCCCACATACAGGAATTCTACAAAATGTAGTTGTTAATGTGAGATAGGAAATGATGTCTGACTTATTGTTTGGTCCTACTCTTTGCTGATGCTGCGGTGTAAAAAAAAAAAAAAAAAAAAAAAACCACCCCTGCTTTTGAAGTTGTTTGTTATTAGTTGAAAGCTGTAAAGGGCATTGTTTGGACTTCCTTTTTCTACAGTTTGAGTTAACTTATTGCACAGTGGAGGGCAAGGACTTCCTGATCTTCACTTGGGGCTCTTCTGTTCTGCCTGTTGTGAGGGATTGAAAGTAATCCAAACTTGTTCTTGGCCTTTGAAGTCTGCTGATTCCCACCCCTTGTTCTATCAAATGAAGTCAGCTAAATTAAAAAATATGCATGTTGCTATTCATGAATAATCTGCAGTGCATTGCTTTATGTGGTCAGTCATTTCTAAATGCTTAGGTTTTGTTTAGATTTTTTTCTCATATAATCATTTGCAGTCTGTTACAGGCTTTCTGTTTCTGAGTTTGTATTATCTGTGCTTTAAACTTCATCTGGTTAATTTAAGCCAAAAAAGGTTAATTTCATCCATGTGAGAATGATAATTTGTTGCTTTGGTGAAGTTTTTGAGAATTTTTTTTATTACTATTAGGAACTAAATCTCCTTCTTTTGCTAGTCTTAAAAAACCCAAACAAAAACAAAAACCCCAAACCCTAACCTCGGAGCTTCAACAGGTATGAACAGCAACAATTTGCAAGACATTGTAATATTAGTACACTGGCAGTATGATCAAGGTTAAGGTTGATAATTCATTCTTTATACTTGCATGGTTCATGGCCTCTCTGTTGAGATTCAAAATTAGTGTCTCCTTCTGGTATGCACCATGATGTTGAAACCAAAAATCCACTGTATGAAATAAGAATGTCATACTTAAGGTGCAGGGATTTCCCTGTTTAACCTGGTTGTAGCAGAGTTTGCAGCAGAGGCAAAATATTCTTTGTTCTTCTGAGCTTTCTATTTTCTCCTGTTTGTATTTCTAAGTGCTTGCAATCTGTGTTTTTGTTTTCCCTTGTATATATTGTATGTTGATTGTAGTGGTTCCTACTAGCACTCCTGGATAACTTTTTAATAGGTGTATTTTCTTTTAGAACCTTTACAGATGCACAGACTGTCTGCAGAGATTCTCTGCCTCATTTGGAGGAGACCCAAGATAAAGGCATAGAGCCAACAGGTAAGCATCTGAAAGATGATCCTTGGAAATTTGAGCTCTTTTTAGAATTGTTCTAACGTAATTAATGTGTCTATTCTAGCAAGTGATGAGTGACAATTTTTCAGGGTTGGGATAATGAGAGACAGCCAAAAATAAAATTAAACTGAAGTGAATCAGGATAACTTCAAAACTTTGAGGCGCTTTCTGTAAACTTGTATGAATTCAGGTTTTGCCTGTATTTGAGACTATTAATATATTAAAGTGAAAAATAGCCTGACCCATGGAAAATCATACCAATTCTTTAACACATACTAATGTGTTACCTTTGGCATCACAGCCTGCTTACCAGCTGTCATCTATTAAGGATTTGGCATACTCTGTAATAACTGGAGGCTGTTAAAGGAATAACTGTAGAACGTCAGTTCTGTGTTGCATTGTGGCATATGCATACTACTGTAATTTTAAACCAATTGCAGTGGTAAATTAACCTAGTTGTGCTACCATGTGGCTTAAAGGAGGTTTACTAACAGTTTCCCAGGGTTCTTTGGGAAGTTTGCAGCCCTGAGGGAGCTTCCTGTTGCCTTGGCAAGGCTGCTACTGGTATCTAAATTTGCTGATTTAAATGGGGAATATTTGTTCTATGAGATAATTGAAGCAATGACTGCAAGTGGACTTTGAAGAAATAACAGATCTGTGTAGGAATCTCACATGCTGACTTTACACATATTTATAAATACATATCTGTATGCATATATATTTATTTTTTAAAAGGTAATTCTTTGATACGCAATAGGTTTCTTTCCAATAATTGCACTGCTAGTCATTTGCTTTTTGGTTTTCAGTAAGCAGGAAATAAATTTGGATGGATAAAGGATGTAACTAACTTCTGTTTTCAGATTCAGGGTATTTTATTTAACTATTTGAGATGCACATTGTATACGTAGATTTTTACTGAGGCTGTGATTCTGCAGAGTACTTGCTTGTGTGCTCCTGAAGGATCTGACCTATTTTTCTAAGAATTTATATGGGATGCTGGCTGGTTACTGCTTTCAGCTATCTACCCTGCTTCTCTCCCAGAGCTTGCTGCTGGTTACAGTTTAGAGTAATATGCTGGGCTGTAAACCACAGTGCTCAGGAAGGAATGCGCATGCCATTCAGGCACTCCTGCAGCAGTCACCACAGCCTCTGGAAGAAAGGTGAGGTGAACAACTGGGCCTAGAAGCCATTCCAGCTGTTCCATCATAATTTTCCTGCAAATGCAAGTCACACCCTATTCATTTTAATTAAGCAGTTCCTTTATGTGAGTTTAGGTGTGTTTCTAAGTTGATGAATCAGGAGCTTACAATTTACGTTAGCCTTTGTCTTTTGTTTGACTGAGAATCTGTGGCACTACTTGTTATCCATTTAAATGAGAAGCAGTGTTTGAATTGGAAACATCACACAGCTATGCAGATGTTGAGTGGTGAAGGGAGGACTGAGTGTCAAAAACTTGTCCCAAAAATCTTTCAGGAGTAGGAAGCTCAGTGTCTAGTTGCAGTGGGTCTGCTTTTTTGTGTGTATCAAGAGAAAAGGAGGAGATTCTGATGTTTTCTAGTTGTGCAGAACTGTCTTTCTCATTTTATAATCTGTATGTTCTGCAACCTCAGGCGTAAATTTGCCTAATGAGGGCCTCAGGTTGTTCTGGAGTTTTCCCCGTTCTTTTCCACCAATGTGTAAAGCTCATTCCTGTGGAACCAGGCCAGATTTTGTTTTGTATAATGCATATATAAATCCAGAGTAACCTTACTGCTGGCAGCAAGCATTATCTTGCCTTAAAACAAGTATAAAGTTAAGAGAGAACTCATTCATGCTGGTTTTATACTGATGGAATCACAAAATAATTTATGTTGGAAAAGACCACTGGAGGACAACTAGTCCAGCTTTCTGCTCATGGCTTTGCTCAGTTGAGTTTTGAAAACCTCCAAGGATGAAGATTTAGTCCCTCATGACCTCAGCTTCTCAGTCCCTCTTCTTAGACTGAGTCACCTGCATTGTGAAATTATTTTGCTTTATCTAGCAAAAATTTTCCTTGCTGCAGCTCATGTCCATTGCCTCTTATTCTTCTGCTGTGTGCCTCTGAGAAGAACCTTCCTTTACAGCACACCCCTTCAGTCTGTGGCAGACTGCAATTGTATTTGTTCTTTGTCTTCTCTTTTCCCGACTGAAGAAACCCAGCTTCTTTAGGGGCTTCTCATATATGGTGTGTTCCAGGCCCCTGACTGTCTGGGGGTTGCTCTTCTGGGCTTGCTTCAATTTATCAGGATCTCTCTTTTATGCTGAGGCTTCCAAAGCTGCACGCTGCTTCAGGGGCACCCTCATGAGTACTGAGTAGGGGAAAATAATCACTTTCCTTGATCTGCTTGCTATAATCTTCCTAATGCAGCCCCTGCTGGAGTTAGCCTTTATCTCCACTGGGACGTGCTACTCACTTGCGTTCAACTTGTCTACCAGGAACCACAGGGGTTTCTCTGCTGACCCAGCTGGCATCCAGTCTGTGCTGTTGCATGGGGTTATCCTACCCTGAGTGCAAGACTTAGGTTCACCCTTGTTGAGCTTTGAGGTTTATGTCAGCCCATTCCTCCAGTCTGCTGACGCCCATCTGAATGGCAGCCCTGCCTTTTGGCGTGTTGGCCAATCCCCCAATTTTGGTGTCATCTTTGAAGCTGGTGAGGGTGCATTCTATTGTCCAAGACAATAATGCAGTCATTAACCAGTATTGTTCTCAGGACTAGCCCCTGAAGAATGTCACTTGTAATGATTGCTAGCTAGACTTAGAAATGTTGACCACTGTTCTTGAAGACTAATTATTCTGTCATTTTTTTACCCACCTATTACTCCAACTCCATCCAGTCCAAACCTCCCAAGGATGATGGGGGAGACCTTGTTAAAGGTAAAGTAAACAACACGCCACTGATCTCCCCATCTCAGAGCCAGTCATCTCATCATGGAAGGTAGTTGGGTTGGATTTACTAAGGCCAAATCAAGTCTGTTCATTCTGTCTGCACATTCTCAGGCACCACTTTATAGCTCAAAACAATTTCCAGGAGAGTTTGTTCTATAGTCTTTCCGTGGACTGAGGTGAGTCTGACTGGCCTCTAGTTATTTGACTCCTCTTTCTTCCCCTTTTGAAGGCTGGTGTGACATTTGCCTTTCTCCTGTCATGGAGAACCTTAACAGTTTGCCATTCTTTTTCGAAAAAGATGGAGAAGAGCCTTGCAATGACTTTGGCCTGGTCTCTCAGCATACACTCTGAGGCATCCTATCTGGGCCCATTGACAGTTTTGTATGTGTTCAGTTTCCCTAAGTGGTCCCTACTTTGGTCTTCCTCTGCGGTTGTAGGTAAAAATTCTCAACTGCCACTAAGCACAGAAGCCCAGGAAGCCTGATCTTGCCAGTAAAAACCAAGGTGAAGAAGGCACTGAGTACATCAGCCCTTTCCATGTCCAGTGTCAGTAAGTTGCCCATGATATCCTTGGTTATTCTTTTGGCTGCCAGTGTACCTGTAGAAGCCCTTCCTGTGGCTTGTCACATTGCTCACCGATTTCAATTCCAACTGAGTTTCAGCCTTCCATTCCTCCGTGCCTGGGCAGTGTTTCTGTAGTGATGTTTCCTCCTGATTACACCCTCCACACGCTTCTATTTTGGTGCACCGTAATCAGTTTTAGAAGCATCAGTATTGTTATGAAGCTTATTTTGTACTTGTCCTGATGCACCACTCCCTCCACATCAGTGTGTAGATGCATACTTTGGAGGATATCTAATTTCTCTGATCCACATTAGTAATAGTTTACTGATGTGAAGAACAGTATATTTTATTGCATCCATAAATGTTCCCTTTTCCTCCAGAGGAAGAGGTACAGGTTTCCATGAACTGAAATATTTGTGTGTGTTTTGGCTAATTTAAAAATACTTCCGATATTTATTCAGTCTTTTCTGTTTCAGAGTTTAAAGTTAAATGCTTACTGTGGAAACAGAAAACCCTCCTCCTCCCCCAGCTGTGGCAAAGCAAGCAACAGGAAGCTGGTTTCTGTATTTTTTAAAAGAATCACTGTGTATATATTTTGGCTGATACATTCAGGTTCACTTGGAAATTCAGAAGTTCTGTACTGCTGTTTAATCTGTTCATTGGCACAAGGGGAAGTTTGACACTGATAGCAAGCTGTGAGACTCCAACCTGTGTGTGCTCAGCTCCAGCTTTTCCTAAAAAGAAGTTAAGCTTTCAGGGCCACAGACATCTTGAAGAAAACTAAAAAATAAGGGGTGAGAGGAGGAATTATATATTTGTGCTGTCAGCAGAATGTGATGGCATCATAGCTGTGGAATCCGGGATGATGACTGTCTGTCAGAAACGCCTCCAGCAAGGATCTGAATACCTTCTCTCGTCATTAGAGCAGAGTGATGTTTTGCAGGAACTGGCATATAATTGAGATATGGTTTTGTGAGGTAAATCTGAATTGTTTCTAAGCAGATGTTAAATTAGTGTTTTAAAATGTTCCTGCTTCTCAGGGCACATCTATAGAATATCACTTGGAGTTGTTCAGGTCATGCAGCAGGGTCATTCCACAATCAGCCATATCTGTCTGTTTACCTGTATGAAAAGTGACCTTGGTTCTTTTGCATTTTATATGGCTCTCAGAGTTGTTCTTCCATAAATATCAGAATTCATCTACATTCCCAAATCCATTCTGGCAGTCACCAGGATACTTGCAGGTCAGTTAGTGAACAGAGAGAAGGTTTCATTCATGTATTAGCTTTAGACTGTAGGATTAGTTTGTGTTGTGTTTTTTTTTTTTTTTTAACTAGTACACAGTCTCCTTCATACATCCCAGAGGTCCAGCAGTTTCAGCCAGACTGATTTTTCATGGGAAAAAAAAAAAAAGACTTTATATTTGTCTGTTTAAAATAGTTTTTGGTATCTGGGCTGGGAGAGACAGCTTCTACCATGTCACAACTGTTCAGACTTACATGGTGGAAAGGAGTGACAATTGGCTGATAAAAATACAAAAATTGTAATGTGTTTATGTTGTGTATTATTTCAGACTTGGTAGAAAATATTTGAATAACAAATATTCAAGTATTCACCTGTAAATGGTTCACAAGTCAAGGATTGTACTGTAAAAGATAGGTTGAAAACGTTTCAAGTGGGGTTTTTTTTTTTTGTTATAAACAAAGTTTTTAACTGTTTTTTTTCCTCCTATAAAGTTTCTTGTTGAAAATTTACACTTAGTGGGAAAACTGCACACCTAAAATCCAAAATATTTAGATCATCTGCCCTTGGAGAAATTCCTAAGACAAACTGCAGTACAGTCATCCTGTTATACACAGCATATATGAGACTACTCTGAGCCATCTCTTCCTTCAGCATTCAAGACAGTAAATCGTGGAAAATTTAGTCTGATTATGGAATTTGGCCTTGAAGGAGAATGACATGGGGGGGGAAAAAAAAAAACACTCGAAGAGGCTCAAAGAGTAACAGTCAAGACTACCTAGCTGAATAAAATCTTTGCTGTTTTTTGTTTTATCTGACAAAACAGTCGTCTTCAGGAGCAAATCTTTTCTCACCATCTCTGACTTCAGTGAATTCATATGAAGGTCATGAGCCAAAGTCACATATTAGTGAATGAAAAAGCATTTTGGGTACAAAACATAATGCAGGTAATGGGAGTTACTGGAAGAAAGAGCAAGGGAACAAGTATTCCTTTTTGCTTGCATATAAGGAACTTTCAGTGGCATTAAGCACTTGGAGCTGGAAAGCTGTTTTATTTTTTCTTATGCTCTCTGTGAACCTACCGGTGTATAATGTACTAATAGTGTCTTTAAAGGATCTTTATTCTGATTTCCACTTTGGTTTCAGATGGAACTGAGTTCACTTCCAGCCTGGACATTGCAGTTTAACTTTCAGATGCTAGTGAGGCGAGCACCTGTTTTGCTTTTCCCAAAGTTTATAATGAATTCATTCAGTATTTAGCCAGGCATTCCTTCCCAGGATCTTTCTGAGAAGAACAAGTCTTCTGCTCAAAATGCTTCTGCAAACCAACAGCAGAATATACTTGTTCATGTTCTGCTGCTTTTACAAATTCTATGGGACAGAGTAGTTAGATCTTTAGAATTATTTGGCTTATTATCTAAATTTAGGAACTGGTTTTAGATTTAAGTTCTACCTCCAAATACATGCAAGAACAGACACCGAATGGGTATTCAACTTTATATTTCTTTGTGGTATATATTGTGAATTATTAAGGTGATTCACTGAGTCTCTGTGATACTGATTCTGTTCTTAGTTTTTGGTATGAATAAAAGATGCCTTTTTGACACCAGAAGAAACTGCATTAGGAAAAGCAAACGGAGACCCAGTTTCAAAGTACATTTTTGGTTTCTGTATGTAGATATTGATTATTTGATTTATTTTCACTCTTCTCTGTGGAAACTATTTTGTTATCTGCTGTTGTACATCTGCAGTGAAAAGATAGCAATTATATAACTTTTGGAATGTTATTATAGGAATGTTGCTAATATTTTCAGTTCCCTTGAGAGATACGCTTTGTTCAAGAGCGTTTTTTCATAACACATGGACTAGCCTGTTGTGTTTTAGCTCTGTATGGTATGATTCTGTTTTCAATGGAGCTGTCATCCACCTGTGCCCGACCACACTTACAGTCCCTGCCATCTTTTTTGGTTTAGAAGCCAGAACATCATACAGAGTTTTTCATCTGGGCTTTGGTGTGTCACTACAGGAAATAAGCGTTTGGATTAACATTAGCTTCTGTCTCTTACAGGCTTTATCTCTAATCCTTTTCACACCAGGATTGGGGTTAAGTGCAGAAACACCTGCTTTGCCTTCACTACTCATAAGATATTTTTTGGGTGCCACTGTTTACACTTCAATAAAGTCTATTACCTAGAATCCTTCATAGCTACTTGTTTTCTAAACTGTCTGAAATAATGATGCCCTTCTTCCGCTGGCCTAAGCAAAGCTCCACACCTATGTTTTGAAAATCATTATATGCAATTTACACATGAGAAAATGAAGGCAAATGGAGATTAAGCAGCTTTATTTGTATTTGTTGCTGTCATTATTACTTTGTTTGTCAAGAGAACCAATGCAAGACTGAATCAGGAACATGAATGGAACATAATGTGAGTCAGGGACACTAATCCTGGATTGAAACACACTACAGCTTTGACTGTTCAGTTCACTTTCTGCACCAGGGTTTTTATCTCCTTACGTGGGAGGGGGTAGAAAGGTGACTTTTTTTTTCTTCCCCCCAGAATGCTCTGCACATGCTAGGATATAGCATGGGGCAGTGAAATCTTCAGAAATAGTTTTACAGAATGCTGGCAGCAAGCTAGACTGGGTTTGGTATTTTTCAGTTTAGTAGTTGTACTTTTATGAGCTGATTATGAATGAGCTTTTCTACGTGGCTAAGTAATGAAACTTTTTGCTGCAAGAGAAAGTTGGTTTTGTTTTGTTCAGTTTTTTTATACACATTCATGAGCTTACAATAGCTTCCTATGCCTCTGGCTGTCTGCAAATTGCGAGCCTGACTTGAGGGAGGCAGCAAGTGTGTTCTAAAGCATTCTTGTGAATACAGCTAAGGTTGATGCGTTCATACATTGCCAGAAATGCTCAGTAGTTTCCAGGCACTCTGTGAAGCAGCTAGAGGAATACCATTTGAGAGGGATGTGAAGCATGTTCTTTTGAACCCTCCAGAACTGCTTTTTTCAGCCCCGGAGGTACCAGGAAACAGTATAGATATTAGCTAAGCTTTCTTTACAGATTTTACTTTTCATAAGTGTAGTAAAAGACAATTGTACTTATTAACTTGTATCAGAAACTTCAAAAAGTCGTATCTTCTGTTACTCTCAATTCTGACAAACCTAAGCTCTTTGGTCTGAAACTTCCCACCAGCTCTATGTAGAATAGATATTTTTTATGTTTATGCTAAAAATACTTCTTCATTTATGAAAGTAAATCTAAAGAAAAAATGTTGTTAAAATGTTCTTTTACTATTTTGTTCAGAAGCATGAGAACTAACTGTTTGATAGGGAAGTTGTGAGTGGTTTTCTGTCTCCCTTGTGAGAATTCACCTAAATTTAGCCAACTTACTAACCCCTAGATTCTCTAAGCAGTATATTTATACTCAGCCTGCTTCTTGCTGGGTTTGCAAGAGCCAAGTTGAGACAGTCACTTCTTGTGAATGCCAGGAACTGCCCCAGTCCTTGCACCAGTGGTGAGAGCCAAGTGACATTAGCTGGTGCTCTGTGTCTGTGTCCTGTCAAGGAAGGGGAGGAAAACTACAGGGAGGAAAAAGTGGATGGTAAAAAGACAGGGTTAGGAAGGCAAGAGCAGAAGGTGAAAGATGATGTGGAAATGCGGTGCAACAGGAGTGAGTGGAGTGGATATACATACTAGAACACAGGGTAGATGACCAAGGAAAAAAAAAGCTGTGGGAAGTAGTTGGGAACAGGGGCAGGATGAAGGAGAATAGCTGGAAGGGA